TTGGAGAAAAACAGAAAAAACAACAGTTGAAAAGTTATGGATTAAATTCCAAGAGGATCCCCAGCAGATTTGCGAGATGTAGGAACAACTCCGGCAGATTATCGACCAAGTTCTGCGATGGTCGGACAACACAGAGCGAGGAAGGAAGAAAAAAGAAAAACCATCCCCAGCAGGAATATTATCCCCAGCAAATAATATCATCCCCAGCAAGTTTTGTAATAAAGCGCAAAGCAGGGAAGGAAGAAGGGAAAAACCATCCCCAGCAGGAGTGGCACGACCACTCACCACGTTTTGAACTAACAAATTTTTCTTTAATTTGAAGCAGGGAAAGGAAATGTTATTGACAGCGGGAAGACATGGCCACAAAGAAGATTATCAAACTGGGGCAGAAAAGTTTCTCTCATTGTGAAAATTTTCTTGAAATCAGATAGCCACTTGGGGAAGAGGGAAATAACACAAGTTTTAAAGGAAGTAAAATCCCCAGCAGTATACGAGAGAAGGCGATACAAGTTTTAAAGAAAACAATCTTGGAAGAAGCAAGATAACCCGAGTTTTAAGGGTAGTGGTCCGTGAATCAGTGCCATCACCACCATTGTTAAAGGGAGGAAAGTAACTAGTCTTAAAAGAGGGAAAATAATTCCCCAGCAATGTTATTTCCGGCAGGTTTCAGAGAAGTGAAAACACCAGTCGGAGGGAAGTAATTCCAGTGGAAGGAAGGCGCCAGCTTTAAAGAAAATAGTCTTTGAAGTAGGAAAATGACATATTTTTGAATAAAACACCGGTGTTATCCCCAGCAGTTTTCAGAGGAATAAAACACCAGTCGGAGGGAAGTAATTCCAGTGGAAGGAAAGCGCCAGCTTTAAAGAAAGTAGTCTTTGAAGTAGGAAAATGACATATTTTTTAATAAAACACCGGTGTTATCCCCAGCAGTTTTCGGAGGAATAAAACGCCAGTTTTGAGGGAAGCAGTTAAAAGAGGATGATTTACGTTAGAAGGAAATTGGTTCGGGAGGCAGGAAGGAACAACATCGATTAAAACACATTTTTAAGAAGTAGTTGAAGTCAGGAGCCCGCCTGGAGAATGAAGGTGTTATATTTTTAAGAAGTAGTTGAAGTCAAGAGCCCGCCTGGAGAATGGAGGTGTTGTATTTTTAATAAGTTGTTGAAGTCAGGAGCCCGCCCGGAGGGCGAAGGTTTACAACAAAGATCCCCAGCATAAATTAAAGTTCAGAAGTCGGAAGAAGGGCAACACTAGCCAGAAGAAGGCGGTTCAAGCTTCGAAGGAAAAATAATTCGGAGCTCACAAGAAGGAAATAAGCAGTTCAAATTCGGCAATCAAGAGAAGACTACGAGTCAAGACAGAAAGAAAGAAACATCAGAGGAAACACCAGTCACCGAGACATCAAAGCAACAAGAGACACAAGAGCACGGCTGAAGATCTAGGTAAGATTTTGTAATTCATAGACTATAGTTTAGTCTAGCTTCTTGTTTTCTTTCAGCATGGTGTAATAAGGAAGTCGGAAAGCAGTAATAACAGCATGCAACAACAGTAACATTGCAGTCCCATGGAAGGCCCAGCTACCAAAACTTCCCGTACTACATTGACCTGATTCCCTTTTAGCCAGGGATATGTAGGAAACCTCTGAAGCAAAGGTTCGGTTAAATCTTTTCAAAAAATGCTTCACACGGAGTATTCCAACAGGCAAAAATCGCTCGTATCCGCTCACTGTCTTTGCACGAAAACTCTTTGTGTTTTCGGACAAAGAGGGGCAGCTGTGAGCACGTGATTTTTGCTTCACGAAAACAACTCCCAAAGAAATCGAATAATAAAATAAATTGCTTTTGGGTACAATTTTGAGAACTTTGCGTGACATTTTGGATAATTATTTTTGTCTGTGAATGTTTAGTTTGTTTTAATTAATTAAAAAATACAAAAAATATATGTTGCATGCACATTTAAGATTTAATTGTGCACTTAGGAATTAATTGAACCATATTTTGTTTTAAGAGAAAGAAAATCACAAAATAATGTATTTTTTGCATTTCATGTTCAAGTTATGTGATTTTATTTGATTATGTGTGTTAATTGTTATTAAAAAGTTAGTAGTACTTTTGTAAATTAATCTGGTCCTATAAGCTAATTTAGGATTTTTGGAATTTTTAGTTTTATTAGTCTAAGAAAAGAAAGGCAAAATAAAAGAGTATTAAGTCATATTTGGGCCAAATCAATTTAAAGTCCAAATAATTTTTCTTCCCCTTTGAAATTGAAACCCGGATACCCAACCCATACCCCATCCCCGACCCGGTCTGCCCCATAGCCCAAACAACCAACCCCCCTTTCCCCATTTTCATTTTCATTTTTCTAAACCCATAACCAAAAAAACCCTAAACACCCGCCCCCTCTTCTTTCTTCTTCTTCTTCTTCGAACAACCACCCCTCATGGCTGCCCTCCTTCCCCCTCACCACCATCTACCCCAAGCGACCCCTCCAGCTCCAAACGACCACCCCCATGGCTGCTTCCTTCTTCATCTTCGTCCGAACGACCACCCCCTATGGCTGCCTTCTTCTACGTCTTCGTCCAAACGACCACACCCCATGGCTGCCCTCCTTCCCCTTCACCACCATCTACCTCAAGCGACCCCTCCAGCTCCAAACGACCACCCTCATGGCTGCTTCTTTCTTCATCTTCGTCAGAACGACCACCCCCTATGGTTGCCTTCTTCTTCGTCTTTGTCCAAACGACCACCCCTCATGGCTGCCCCCTTCTCCTTCTCCCTCGACACTCATTGTTGCCTCTCCATCGAGCAGTAGCGAGCAATAACATCTCTAAGCCACTGCTACTCCAGCTCCACTGTCACGCCAACGACCCCAGCAGAGTCCCCAGCCCTTTTCCATAACCACCCTCCAGTCCGAAACGAGACCAGCCATCCGAGGTCGGGCTCAGTCGTACGTCAAAACAGTGCGTCGAGGTTCCGTTTGAGTCCGTGTCTGTTAATCAAGCGTCGAAACAGTGTCGTGAACGAAGCTGTGTTTCATCGGAAGTTCATCATTGTTCGACGTCGAATCATTAGCATAAAGGTCAGCCATAGCTTGTTCACGGATTTTTTTTTGTTTGCTTTCTCTTTGGAATTTCGTTTTCACTGTGTGTAACAGAGCAAGAAAGTGCAGTAGTAAAGGTCATATCTCTTACCTCGAATCTATGCTATTCACGGACCTATTTGTGGTTTCGTTTTTAATGTGGGTTCATTTTGATAAAATCTGCGCATGAAGTATCCTACTGTATATTCGTTGAAATTATATGTGTATACGTTTTTCCTACTATTTTGAGTTCAATTGATGATTGTGTTTAGTGATTTGGATATACTTGTTTGTTTTGTTAAGTTTGTTTCTGATATGAATCTGGCCTTGTTGAATTGTCCTGATGTTGTTGATTGGGAGTTAGTTTCATGTGTTTTAATTAGTCAATTGTCAGGATTTCTCACTTAAGATTGGTTATAGCTGCTGTAGTTTGGTTAATTAATTTAGGAGGATTGGATATAGCTGATGGGGTAGAATGGTAATTTCAATAGTTTCAAGGGTATTTCGGGATTTAAAATTTTTAATTTGAGTGCTCTGTCCACTAAGCACTAATAATATTAAAATAATACATTATTTAATACATAGTGGGGGACAAGACATGTGGTAGTGGGAACTAATACATTTGTTTAATATAGTGGGGGACAAGACATTTACTAGTGGGGAACAAGACATGCAAGTGTGGGGAACAAAACATAATGGTATGAAAAGCTTAAAAAGGATTGATTAAAATATGTTGCCCATACCTGTTTTGGGTTATAAATAGGGTCATTTCAAGACAGAAAAGGGGGTTGGTTTTTGGAAGGAAAAATCAGTTCTCTTTCAGTCTTTTTTTTTCCAGAGAGTTTAGGCTGGATTTTAACATTTAAAAGTTCAGTAATTTGAGAGTAAAAAAAAAAGGAGGCTGGTTTTTAATCCTAAAAGGTTCAATGTTTGGAGAGTTAAGAAACTGAAAAGGGTTTCAATTGGTTCTTCCTGAGTTTGTATTGGTTATTGGCTACTGTTTTCATTAGGTGTTGCTGGAACTCTGCTGGTTCCTTCCTTTTTAATCTGTCACTGGGTTGTTCTGTCACTGTGTTGCTGTGTTATTACTGTTGCTGAATGCTCCTTCGTCTTCTTGTATTTCCGTTATCCAGGTACATGTTCTACAGCTCTCAAATTTAAAGGAAAGGAAGTAAAGAGTTGTTGGAATATCAATTGTAATTAATCTACAAACATGGAATATCAATTGTAATTAATCTTAGTTGGTGATTACTAGTTATGAAATATACTGTATTTAATTCTTTTGTTCAGTAGTCGTGAAACAGTTTCAAATAGTTTATGTCGCAAAACAGGTTCAAATAGTTTATGGAAATCGCGAGTTCACTTGAGTAAATAACATCATTTTAAATAGCAATGTAAATAATGTTAGTAACTAATGTTAGTTCTCGAATGTTAGTGATTCATGTTAGCTTGATGTCAGTTTTAAGCATTGATGCATTTTTCAACAAATCGTAAAAAGAGCTCAAAATGGCTTTATATTCCACATAGTTAACTCCAATAATCCAATTCATATAATGAAGCTAAAGTTGAACTGGATCGAAATGGTAGCTGGTTTGGTAATATTTACAACGACAGGCGGCGGATCTTAAGTTAGGTAGCGGGTTCAAACTAGAAGTTGTTTCCTTTTGTTTGGACCCGGACTTGAATTTGAAGCCCGAACTTTTAATGCTAATTGATTAGGATTTTTCTTTATTCTTAGAGACCAATAAATAGAAAATCATAGTCGCTTTAGGATATCCTTGAATAAAAAATGAGATGAGTCTCGCCAAATAAAAAATACAGAATTGCGGGGCCCTCAATAAATATTTGTTTTAAAATACTTAGACTTAGGGAC